TACAACCCACCACAAAACAGCAGGAGACGAAAACAAGAGTATGATGACAACAACAGAGTGATGGTGACCACACTAGCTGAGATGGTTAGAAGGGCCCACATGGGCAGGGCAAAGTTACTCATCATGGGGAGGTTTCAATCATGAGGAGACTGACTGGAAAAACCTGGAGCCACATGGGGGACCAAAGACGTAGAGGGCAAAGATGATGGAAGTAGTGAGGAAAAACTTTATACACCAACATGTTAGGGACACAATCAGAGAAAGAGAAGAGGATGAGCCAACAAGACTGGGCCTTGTATACTCCTTGAACAGTTCAGACATAGGAGATAGCACACATGAAAAGCCCCTTGCCACTAGTGATCACTTGGTACTGAGTTTCGAATATATAACAGAGTTAATTAACATTGGAGAGTGAAGCTGCTCGAGGACAGGAGAAACCAAACTTATAAAACGGGGACTACATGAGGTGCAGGGGAAAAGAGAGATAGAGGGGAAGATAGTAAATGAAATGATGGAACAAGTGACCACAAAATGCAGGGAGGCACAGGAGAAGTTCGCGTCAAAGGGGAACAGAAACAACGGCAAGACCAGAGTAAGCCCGTGTTTGCTCGGAGGTGTGGAGAGGTCAAAGCCAGGTGTAATAGAGCATGGAAAAAGTATAAAAGGCAAAGGAATCAGGAAAACAAGTGTGAGCCGAAGAGCTTATAAGCAGAGAAGCCCAGCATCAATACGAGAATGACATGTACCTGGAGCCCACCTGGAGGGTACTCCGGGGATCAACGCCAAAGTGGCCCGGTCTATGAACAGGCCTCCCAGTGAATCAGGGCCTGATCAACTAGGCTGTTACTACTGGCCGGACGTAGTCCAACGTACGATCCACATCACAGTTGATCCTGCACTGACTTTAGGTATCTGTCTAGCTCCCTCTTGAAGGCAGTCAGGGGTCTATTGGCAATTCCCCTAATGGCTGGTGGGAGGCTGCTGAACAGTCTTGGGCCCCAGACACTTATTGTAATTTCTCTTAATGTACTAATGCAGCCCTACTTTTCATTGGAGTTATGTTGCACTGCCTGCCAAGTCTTTTGCCTTTCTAGGGAGTGATTTCTGCGTGCAGATTAAGGACCAGTCCCTCTAGGATTTTCCAGGTGTAGATTATGATGTATCTCTCTCGCCTGCGCTCCATTGAGTACAAGTCAAGTGCTTCCAAGTATTCCCAGTAGTTAAGGTGTTTGATGTAACTCATATGTGCAGTAAATGTTCTCTGTACATTCTCTAGATCTGTGATTTCACCATTCCGTTCTGTTGTAGATTCGCCAGTAAAATCGTTCGGCCAGGACCTTTTCCAAGAGATGGCCCGGCCTTGGCTCCCTGTCGAGGGAGTGTCTCAGACCAATTTCTGTCATGGGAAGAGGTACAAGTACCTGCTCATCTTCAGGGACCAGCTGTCCCCAGGCATAGCCTCATTCCCTGCCCCCATGGGACTTGGAGGGAGAAGCTAGGCACCTTGGGCTGCCACAAACCCCACCCACACTGGGCTCGAAGGGTGTGGCAGCTGCATAGCAGCAGATGATGTCAGGAGGTGCAAAGGCAGCAAGCAATACAGGATCCTTTTGGAGCCACATCACAATTTTAGGCATTAATCCTAAGCACTGGGGAAGGTCAAGAATGCCTCATGCTGTTTTTGCTGTTGCTGCTACTGTGTGGACTTGTGATTTCACCTGCCTGGCATGAAGATGTTAATGTACAACAGTACTGCAACCTAGAGAGAACAAGTGATTTGAAAAGATCATCATTGGCTTGGCATCTCTTGTTTTGAACGTTCTATCATTTTCCTCGCAGATGTGATAGTGGCACTGTGGTGAGCAGTTCTAGCTATTATTTCCTCCAGTTTTCCATAACGGAGTAGTTGGAATTTGTCTTCAGTGAACATCTTATTGTTCTCCGATGCCCATTGGAAAATTTGGTTTATATCTTCCTGGAGATACGGTGCAATGGTTTATATCTCTTTCTATATCTGATATGAGAGTGACGAAAAGGATGGAGGCGAGTTCTGTCCCTTGTGGAAGAGAGCTCTTCAATATGGCAGGCTCCGATTTAACTCTGATTACTTCTACACTTTGTGTTCGATTGGTTAGAAAGTTGAAGATCCATCTTTCTACTTTGCCAAACATCCATTTAGCACGCATTTTGTGTGCTATTACCTCATGATCGCACTTCTCAAAGCCTTTTGCAAAATCTCTGTATACCACATCGGCATTCTGTTTGTCTTGCAGTGCATCTAAGAACATATCAGAGTGATCCGGTAGTTGTGAGAGGCAGGAGCAACTTGCTTGAACCCATGTTGCCCTGGATTGTGCAACTGTTATGAATCCAAGTGGTTTGCAGTCTTGCTTATTACTCTTTCAATGATTTTTATGATGTTGGATATTAAAGCTATTAGTCTACAGTTCTTAGCTATTGCTTTGCTGCCAACTTTATGGAGTGGGGCTATATCCATTGTGTTTACTGACTGTGGAATTTCACCTGTGTCTATGTTCCTTCTCCACAGCATACTTAGAGCCCGCAGTTCTTAATGAACACAGAGTTTCGTGAGTCTGGGGATGGGGCTGAGTGCACGTACATGTTATCAACAGCTTTCTTAACGTCTAGTGGAGTTAGGGTTATATCAGAAATTTGTCATACTTTGACTTAGTTTTGAGGCTCATTCATGAAAAAAATTTGTCATGTTAAGATTTCAGTATCTCACTCATTTCTTTGTTATCATCTGTGTAAGTTCCATCTTGTTTGAGCAGGGACCCGATACTAGAAAATGTTGTTTTGCCTTGTTTTTGGCATATGAAAAGAAATGTTTCGAATTTCTTTCAATTTCACTAAACGCTTTTAGGTCCTTCCTGTCTCTCCTGGATCCTGTATGAATCCCTTAACTTAAAATCAGTATTTTCCACTTCCATGTTAGCGCTTCCTTCCGTGTTTCAGATAATCTTGTGTTCTTGAACAGCTCAGTGATTCTTCGCCCTCTCCTGTAGAGGGAACGACTCTCTCTCTCTCCCCTGTTTACTTCTCTTCTTTTTTATTAGGGGATATGCCTTGAACATACTTCAGCTGCCAGGAAGTCCATGTTATTTAAGATATCTTTCCAACATGTTTCATTTAGGGATGGTTTACCTGATCCCAGTTGATGTTCTTGTTGCTGAAGTTGAATTTGGTGAAGGCACCCTCGTAGCTGTTTGCATTTTGCTGGTCAGGACCCCTGTGCATGTAAGTTTGGACTTCGATTAGATTGATATTATGTTTCATACCAGGTCCTTATTATTTGTAAAAATAAGGTCAGGTGTGTTCTCCAGTCTTGTTGGCGCCACTATCTGCTGACTTAGGGTGTGTTTATTGCAGAAATTCAGCAGCTCATGTGTGTGTGACTTTTCATCTGCGCTGCCTCCAGCTATTATTTCTGTTGCAACATTATTTGCTACATTCTTCCATTGCACAAATAAGTCTACAAGGGAGATCTGGACAGGCTGCAAGCATGATTGAAGTTTAACTCCACGAAGTAGAAAAGTCATGAAGCTTGGGGAAGGACAAAGAAGACCGCAGACAGAGTACAGCCTAGGCGGTGAAAGACTGGAAAACTCAAAGAAAAGCATATTGGGGTGTGCATGATAACGAGCACATCTCCCATGGCGTACATCAAACAAATAACTACTGCAGCATGTCTGGCGTCTGGCAAACCTAAGAATAACATTTCGACATCTAAACAAGGAGTCATTAGCGACACTGTACACTGTGTACGTCAGGTCAATATTGGAGTATGCAGCACCAGTATGGAACCCACACCTGGTCAAACACGTCAAGAAACTGGAGCTTTTGTTGCAAAAGCTTGCAACAAAACTGGTCCCGGAGGTAAGGAGTATTATAGCCTACGAGGATATAATACTCCTTACCTGTCAAGGCATGTGAGTTAAGGGAACTCACCCTGGCGACAGTGGAGGATAGAAGTGATAAGGGACATGATAATGGTGTATAAAATACTGAGAGGAATTGACAAGGTGAACATGGCCAAAATGTTTCAGAGATGGGACCCAGGAACACGATGACACAGCAGAAAGTTGAAAACTCAGATGAGTCATAGGGATATTAGGAAGTATTTCTTCCGCCTTAGCGTTGTCAGGAAATAATGCAATCTGGAGAGTGAAGTAGCAGAGGCAGGATCCATACATAGTTTTAAGAAGAGGTACGATAGGGTTCTTGGAACAGGGACAGAGTGGACCTAGTAGAGACTAGCGAAGAGGCGGTGCGAGGAGCTGTGACTCGACCCCAGCAACCACATATAGGTGAGTACGCACATCCACACACACACAAACCCGTGCTCATAAATTGAATACCATCTGGGAATATGCCGAGTATGTCATCATAGGTCGCTTACAAAAGAAATATAAAGTACTGTTTTACCCCAGCAAGTTACATTACTTACTGTGATAAACTGTAAATAAAATTCAGTAATAGTATCTTCAGTTATTTTTTAAAAATAAAATCACTCGGGAGTATTGTGGATTTGGCACATAACTTTCAGAACCATTATCATAAAAACTGGGACTTGAAAAGAATCATAGAAAACAAATATTACAGGCTATTGTTAATGTCCATCACTACCACATTAACCGTCTAGGAAACATTTGTCTTACTAGATATCAACATTCTTGATTATAAAAAATATAAATCAAATGTAGTAGTTATATAGAATGATTTAATTTTTACCTTCTTTTTAAATGTAGATTGTACAATTTCTAATATACAAATAATTTTTTTCGAGAATAAGTATACTTCATATATATTGTTATAAGATATACACAAGTTTTATTTACTGAGATGAGTCACTGAAGTAGTAAGACCCATCTTACACTCATCTTACACTCATCTTACACTCATCTTACACTCATCTTACACTCATCTTACACTCATCTTACACTCATCTTTCACCACACTGAATGATAGATAAAACTCACATTCCCAAACGGTATTTCAGGGTCCAGTCGGCGGTGTTCTCCTCATCCAGCTGAGTTGGAGAACCTGTCCCGCTGCCAAGACCTTCTGATTTTCTAGTTCCTTCCTCTCCAGTGTCTGTCTCTGTTGAAGATGATCTGTTGGATTTTATGACTCCTCTTCCTGCGGCGGAAGCTGTGCTGACTGTGTGACCATTGGCACCAGTACACTCACTGATGGTTTGGGTCTGACTGCCGTGACGGGTACTTGGGGTGGTAGTGGTTGACTGGTTCTGCTGGTAATTGCAGGGTATGGTGGTGATCGATGTGTTTCTCTGGCGGTGAACTGGGGAGCTGGAGGTATTTGTTTCCAAGGATGATACCCTCTGTGTGTAATACAGGAAATGAGGTCACTTAATAGCGTACATCATTACTGAGTCTAGCAAATGAGAAGTCAATACACGCCACCTCATGACAACATTAAAGGCAACGGCTTCATTAAAAAGCCACTAGATAACAATCAGATAAAATAAAAAACCATACTTTTATCATACAAAAGAGTATCTTGTTTGATCCTGGTTAGCGAACGTATTATCGAACCTTCGCTATTCCTCTCACTCTTTGACCCACACGCATGTAATGCTTTGTGAAAACTTAAGGAAAATGCTAGAACAACAGTTGCGAATTTCACTGTACATTTCTGTAGAATCCTTTCAACTACTTCACTGCAGAAATAACTGCAGGATTTAGTTGACCCTAAACCCAGATTTTACTTCTTGCGCACAACTTGAGCACAAAATACAATTACTGGTCATTGCAAGTTATTTTAATTGAATTTTAATGATTATTACTATGAAAGGAATTTTAAAATAAAGAAAACACTATAAGGTAGGGAAATATTTTGTTTTCAGATACAAAACAAGTAGTATACGATAATAATAATATAATTGCTTGCTATAAACAAACCATCACCTTGATCTTCACTCGCATATAATATTTGATGCTTGAATATTTTTCACGACTCTTTGAGTAGTGGCTTCAGCAAAACCCGACTCTCACATAAATTATCTTTACTCCCGGTATATAGTTACCTACAGTGCCAAAGTTTGCTGCAATCATCTATACCGACATTAAACATATAAGTCGAGACTTGACAGTGATGGTGTGAGTTGAGATTCAGTTAACATTTATTAAATTTAGCTGGAGATAATAATTATTCACAGTGTCTAGACAGAGACCCAAAACTTGTTTACTTCTTAAATTCAGTTACACAGTTAAATATAATTTTAACAATAGAAGATCCAATTTTATCTTAAAAAATAAGAGGTTGAAGGCAATGATAATTAATGTTACCACTTTTTCCACCCATTTACAGCAGCAATGTGTTGATGTGAGTTACCATAAGGAACAAATAACGAATATAGCATCTTATCTATATATGCGAATAACTGTTTATGAGTTTGTTTCTGTATTAGTCAGTGTACATGAGAGTCAGTAGAACTCTGTCACAGGCATCTTTCCACCAAGGAGCAAATTTTAGACTATACGGCATTTCAGAATTTTAAATGAGGATGCGTTGCTGAATATTGTGTGCATGTTTTTGCAATACGTTGAGTGATGCATCATTTTTGAGGCCTTTTTAAGTTAATTTAAAAAATGTACAAGACTTTCCAAAATATCAATTTGGTGTGGCACAACTTAAGGATTTTGTTTTGTTTCAATACAGAAGAGCCCCGCTTATACGGTGGGTTAGTTGCCAAGCTAATGCCGTAAAGCAAATCACCCAGTTTTCACTTTTAAATGCGCACAAATGCCCGATAACATGTTTTCACTATTATATATTAAGTTAGCAATAGAACCAGGCATAAAAGACAATAAAAAAGTAAAATGCACGTACAGTACACTCGTTACTTACCTTAAAATATTTGTAGTCTTAATGTAGGGAGATAGGTGTGTAGTAGTTATTGTAGGAAGTCAGACGTGGTTGCCCGCCTGGCTAACAAACCTCACAATTAGGTATAAGTTTTATTATGAATTATACACGAATATATTTTGTTTATATATGTAGCGTATTTCTTAAATAATTTTGGAAAAAATGTCATAGATGAATTAGTGAAAATATCTATAAAAACGTAACATACGACATTTAAAGCGCCCCAGACCGATTATTATTATTATTATTATTATTATTATTATTATTATTATTATTATTATTATTATTATTTTACTTATTGCCATCGACATGCCGTGTTCATTGAGTTTAATCATTTCGAACTTCACAGTTAAAGTAAGAGGCTTGCAACTCCTCTTTTTGCCACAACTACCCTTAGATGCCATCGTAAAAGAGAGAGAACGAGAAACACGAGGAGAATGTAAACAAACTGAGAGTGAACGGTTGGTGAGCGGTCAGACAAACGCGTATTAATACCTGTCTACTTTATGATGATACGCTTTCATTTTGCATTATGCAGCGTATCTGAAGCTTCTTCCCCACAATACAAACGCCTTGCATTGTGCACAAGTTGTTTTCACGTTAGTGCGGTAGAATAAATAACAGCAGCACACCAGTTTTAGAGTGAATGAGGCTATGAGTGAAGGCATACGAAATATATTGTTACAGTTAATCCTGTAATAATATACCTAATGCAGCTTCTCACAGATGGATTATTGAAGATGTCAATAATAACGTAATATACGACATTTAAAGAGCCTCAGAGCAATTATTATTATTATTATTATTATTATTATTATTATTATTATTATTATTATTATTATTATTATTATTATTATTATGGAAAATATTATTCTTGTGTTAATTGCGTCAACATTATTTAGACACTCTTAGTGATTTTAATGTGTACATGAACGCCAATACAGTAAGTTTATTTAGGTACAGGTAGACAAAAGTACAATTATCAGCGTATATATAAAATACATAGTAACTTTAAAACACTTGAAACTCTGGAAAGTTTCCAGACATAATGGAGAGACGCGGGTGTAAACAGAGTGACGAGAGGAAGCGGTAATAGCGAGTCAGGGAACCATTTAAACAAATTTTTTATTGTAATTTGAAATGTCGTATTAGAGATTCGCCATAAAGCGAAACACTGTAAAGCAGGGCCCTCCTGTATATTGAGACGCACATCATATTAAAGCTCTTTCCATACGGATTTCGATAACACATACGGCGTTACAAATCTTTTATTTGGGGCCAGTGTCCCCTGAGGCATCTTTCTGATTTCATTATATTATTTCTTACAGACTTAAACAAATATTCAAACACCGACTCCTGACATGGCAGGAATGGGCGAATATATCTTCCCCAAACATGCCTCGTAAAGGTGGGTTCAGAGGTATGAGTCCCTCACATCTGCCTCCTGATAAGGTGGGTACCAGTGTGTGAAAGACTCCTACATCAACCTGCCAAAGTAGCTACAGTGAAGAAAAACTTGAAACCATAGGAAGAACTACTAAAGTATGAAAATTTTTCATTAGCGATTTTAATTTCTAGCTTTTCTTAAGTGACACGAAGCACACCTAGCAGCGACAGGTTATTCTGCCAATTAGAACTGTATAGGCATTGTCTGAACAGACTGAGATAGTAACTATAAGTAGTGAACTGAAGACCTGGCTGACCTGTGAGATGCTGCAGTTGTTTCGCTCGTCCTCAGACCAGAGTCTGGAGCGTGAGAAGCGGGGTCCTCGACGCCTGGGGTGGAGTGGTTCCTCCCGCTTGATGAGGAAGGTCTCCACACCATGGTCCTGACAAGACAGTTCAACATTACTCATCATAATATTACCCGTGGCATCTTTAATCTTTAACAAACATTCAAGATGTATTCTTGTTTTTTTAATAACTGGGAACACCCAAAGCCTCCAGACTGTACTCCTTGGAATACAGGCTAGAAAAATGCATCATAATCAATCCCTGAGAAAATGCTTTAGGGACTGGTCCCAAATTTGGCTATTGAAATTACTCCCCATGAGGGATTCAGCAACGATGCAACGTATTCCCAATGAAAAGCATAGATGTAGCTATGTATACTATGAGATAACTCGATATGGGGAAAATATCTAAATCTTTTCCTCAGTCTAATTTCATATATCTTCATACATACAGAAATTACTAAGAGACCCATAACTGTCTTCAAGGGGAATCTTGATAAGCTACTCGAGACACTTCCTGATCAGTCGGGCTGTGCTGGACTGCGGTCTGCCAGCACCAGCATCCTGACTGATCAGGTCATCATCCAGGTCTAGCCTGGAGCCCAGCCCAGGCGTCGCTGACTCTTGGAATCAATAATTGGTAAATAAAAGACAGGCCATTCACGTCCACCTGCTGTGTATAGAATGTTGTCCACTGTTAACAAGTGAATGCTCTCTTGTTTTTGTTCTGGTTGAATGTATATTTTTATGAACTTACAAAAAATTCTGAGGTCACTTCACCTTGAAGTAGAGGATTCTTGTGGCATACTAACCTTAAGGTAGTGATCCCGCTGCTTTCCATGTCCAGGTTCCACCTCATACACACCCTTAAGACACTCCACCGTCGCCTTAGACACGTGGACTCGCCTGTAATATTAGACTTGCATTGTAAGGAATTATGTAACTTAAAGTGTACCGAGGAACTGCTGCAGGCGAAATTACCTCAAGACAAATTTGATAATCCTGGAGTAATGGTTAAATCACAACTGTTAAGAAAATGAGTTTAATAATATGAAAGACGCAGAGCTACTGCTGATACCCTGAAAGACAGCATAATTCTCTCAGATAAAAAGCAGCTGTACACTAACATTCCCTTTCAAGATACGCAAGTTGCAAATTTGGAGAATGAACAGCGATCGCTCATTATGCAAGTAATTTCAGTCAGGCATCTAAACTACTGTGAGCACATAAAGTCCCTAAAATTATACTGTATTAAGTATAGGCTTAATAATAATTTACAACTATATATCAGATGAGAGTGTTTTGCCTTTGGTACTTTCTTTCATTCTTGGTGAAGTATGTACGTTATTGCCACCCAATACCTCCGTTCCTAAATGACGGGATGATTCGCCTGGTGACACTGACGTATTTCTTTCTTTTCCTTTCTATTTTCTTGCACTTGTTGACCGTGCCCTGTGTCACTCCTCACTTAACCCGCTACACATCTTCGTGAAAGCGTTGGCTTCTCCATCAGTAATGAATACTTTATTTATTTTGATGGTGTGTTAAATATAATACTTTGTGTTCATATTTGATTAACAATATTGATTTCCGTACCGTTTGCTTTGACGTAATCTGTTGTGTTCCCCCTTTCCTTGAGGCGTCGACTTGTTTTTCCTCTTAGTCAACAGGAAAAGCGAGTTAGTAGTGCCAAGTACTTACGTTAGAAGATAATGCTCATTCACATTCAGGAATCAGCATCAATACCGGGACTACCCGCACTTTGTCAGCCGGAACACTCGAGCATCGTTGCCATCTGTGGCCCACTATATGTGTCAGTCATGCAACTACCCAGCCTTATATTATTCAGTTGTCTATTCTGACGTCTTATCCATCCGAGGCTCATTGACCATCCTCTTCATGACCACTGGTCATAACCTTGTTAGTAAAGTAGTCAAATCTGACATCAATATATTGTGAGAGCACTTGTACCATCAGTGTCGTTTGGAATCCAACCACCAGAGGACCTGAATAGTTTTCTATATTGTTTTGTCATTTTTCACTTTATTGTAGGCTTCAAATATTTGTTTTCGTTATGTAATTTTAAAATATTAAAGATTTTTACTTTTGTCATTGATATCAATCTTCCTTTTTGATTATTTTTACAAGTAATAGTTTTTCCTATACTTTTTTTTTTTTATTAAAAGTGAGTATTTAGCTCTTAAGAAATTGTAGTTTGCACTCCCTTTAACAAATCATAATGCTTCACATTCTTCAGGTCCTATATCACACCTACGGGTTAGCGCTTCCCCGAATATTAATAGCTGAGAATCGACGTAGTCTTAACATTCAGCGACACTTTCCCGTAAGACAGCTCAAAGTTCGAAGCTCAGGCAGCAATTTCATAGCTCGTTTGTCGATTTTCCAATTTTATTTTTATAGGTACGAACACTGTACCATGGTTAAATCTTCGGATTATGGTCTCATGAATATTATGGACGCTCTTTCCGAAATATTCCCTCTTCCATATCTCTAAAAGCTATTGTAACTTAATTACCACACATGAATTTCCCACGTTGTTTGGTTTATGAAATTTTCTGTCGTCATTTGTTTTTTCACTGCTGACTTTTAGGCCCTTGGCATGATAACTTAAGTGTTATTACACTTTGTTTTATTTTCACCCTGTATCATTTAAAAGATTACTCATTTTACCTTGGTAATCAGTTTCTTTCAAAATATATATAGTAGTAATTTTGAAAGAAACTGATTACTAAGGTAAAATGAATGATCTTTTAAATGATACAGATACTTATTGCAAACTTAGAAAGAATTCCTTAGATTTTGTAAACAGTAATTTTAATAACACAGTAAAACGACTACTGAAAGGCAAGGATAAACTCATTCAAAAATTCATGACCACCAATCCATCTTTACTGCATATATTTGGATTAATAAAAATACACAAACCAGGTAACCCAGCCAGGCCTATTATTAGCTCCATAGGTTCGGCTTTCTATAAATTATCTAAATGGCTAATAGATATGTTGAGCCCAATTGTTAGAAAAAAAATTAACTTTAATGTTAAAAACAAAATAGATTTAGTGGATAAATTATGCACCATGACTGATTTAAATAATTACAAAAATGGTTACCTAAGATGTTACTTCTTTGTTCACAAAAGTTCCAGGTGATGAACTTGCTAATTATGATTTATCACTGAGCTCATTAAACTCTGTATTCTGGATGCAAAGTTTGTTTTTAATGGCGAGTTTAACCCTCAAATGTTTGTTATAGCAATGAGAAATCCTCTCTCACTTGTCCTTAGCAATTTGAACATGGAATACTTTGTAACAAGATTGCTTAACAAAATCCTTCATAATTGAGCTAAGTGGTACAGATATGTTGTGATGGTTTATGTCTATTGCCTAAGAATATAGATATAAACAATTTCCTTTTTAAATTAAATCTAGCTCATTCCATAAATTTTATTGTTGAGTTTGAGCAAAATGACTCTTTGCCTTCTCTAGATGTTTTAATTATTAAGGAGAACCATGATTTTAAATTTTAAATGTACAGAAAACCAAAAAATAACTGTTCTTATTCTTCACATCATGATATAGTTAAATTTTCTGTATTCTCATCAATGTTTTTGAGAACTTTGAGTATTTGCAACTCGGAGTTCATAGATGAAGAAATCTTTGAAATTTATGAAATAGCTAATGATCTAAAGTGCAAAAATTACTTATTTTATAAATCTTTTACAATTGCTAGAAATACTTTTACAATTCAAAAAAAAAAAAAGGACAAACAACCTTACTTAAATAAAAATATGTTAGTTCTCTCTTACCATGAAAACTTTCATGATATACCTTCTGTACTTAAGGATTTTAATGTCAAAGAGTTATTTAAAAATACTGATTCATTAAAAAAAATTTTTTGATTAAAAATTACCCTAAAAATGCTAATGGCTGTGTCTAAAAGATTCCCTGTAAAACAATGTGAAAAAGTTCATTACGGTCAAACTAACATTACAACAACATAAATATAGCATTAAAATTGGCCAAACATTTAATGTTCTTTTCATTCACGTGAGAGATTTCAGTCAGTAAATTGATTTTCAAAAGGCCGAAAAAGCTGTATCAAGCGGGTCTTTGGTCGAGAGAAATATAACAGAATCAAGCTTCATCAAAAAATAGTTTTGAAATTAATATGAACATTGGTTTAGCATTATACAAATTAGACTCCCTTTTAATTAATAAAATTTGGGAACAATTTAAGATATATTAAACAAATTAAAATCTTAAAGGTTGGGTGTCAAATAAACGATGTTTGACAGGTTCTTGACCTCCTCACCCGCATCATCGTTAAAGGTTCAGGTGTTGAATTTAAAGGTTCAGGTGTTGAATTTAAAGGTTCAGGTGTTGAATTTAAAGGTTCAGGTGTTGAATGTTGACCATGAAGTGTAGTGTCGTCAGTGGTCAGTCAGTCGTCAGTGGTCAGTCGTCACGTGAGGTCACAGACCCTGAGCTGCTTTGGGGATTAGCGTGGACGGTTACAAAGCATGGCTTGCTTCTGCAGTGTTTTAAAAACTGAGGTTGGAGAGTTGAAGGAGGAGGTCTTGCTTCTCCAGGAGGAGATTAGGAGGCTGAAGGTCCACCTCAATGGGTCTGGGAGAGAGTGTGAGGTGGCTGGAGTTGTGGGGAATGAGACTTCTAGCAGTGAGGTGCAGTCTGTCTCTCGCTGTGAGGGGGCTGTGGGTTGGGGAGGTAGCAACGGCTACCAGCAGTGAGGTGCGCCCAGCACCTGCTACAAGTGGCGAGTTTTTCACAGTAATGGGAGGCGCATCAGAGTAAGGAAAGTTAAGAGTGAAGATCTGAAGGTAGGAAATCGCTTCTCTGTTCTCCAGGATGAATGTAACTTCAGTGGCCATGAAGTTAAAGGGTACTACTCCCCCTGCTAATGAAGGTAAGCGCATTCTTGTGGTTGGTGACTCTCAGGTAAGATATATTGCCCGTGCTTTTTGTAATAGGAATAAGAAGATGAGAGATAGAGTGTGCTTCCCTGGAGCTGGTGTTGGGGACTTTGTCAACAGGCTGGATAATATCTGTCAGGTAATGGAAAAAGCCCTTATCTGTCTCAGTGCTGGTGGAAATGATATTGGGAAGGGTAGGAGAGAAGAGCTGCTAGATAAGTACAGGTCAGCTATAGATTTCATTAAGTCAAAGGGGGAGGGACCCCAATCATATGTAGCATCTTGCCTTAAGGGGAGTAGGAAATGAATGGTTGTCTAGGCAATTGGTGTAAAATTGCTGGCTAGACAGATACTGCAAGGAACTTGAAATCCATTCATTGACAACTGGAACAACTTTTATGGCAAACATGATATGAATGCAAGGGATGGGGTACATCTCTCTGGGGCAGGGGTGGTAGCACTTGCAGACTCGATTGAGAAGGCCATTGGTGAAATGCCTATGATTTTAAACTGATGGAAGATAGAGGTATGGGTGTGTGTGGGAAACAAGCAGGTTGCAACACTAGGGTTGGAAACAGTAAAGGTATAAAAGGCATTCGCATGAAGTTATAAATAAAGACAATAGAACAGGTCAGCAAACAAAGGGGGACAGCAGAGGGCAGCAAGGGACTAGCTCCCTTAAGGTTTACTATACTAATAGCAGGAGTGTTAGAAATAAGATAGATGAGCTAAGATTAATTGCAAGTGCAGGAAACATAGATATTATTGCTATAACAGAGACCTGGCTCAATCTGAAAGATAGAGAGATGCCCTCTGAATGTCAATACAAGGCTATAAATTATTCCACACTGACAGGGTCAAAAAGGAAAGGTGGTGGAGTAGCGATGGGATGTCAGAGACAATTTAATTGTTGTGTTAGACAAGATATTTAAATTAGAAGCGTCATCCACTGAAT